GGGCAACAATGGCAGGTCACCTCAGCAGGGACTCAGTGATGTTCACAGTACAGTTGAAAGGGTGAAGTGATATGTTCATTCTCCATTTTCATGTAACTCTGATTTACAAATAACGACATGGTCTTTAGAACTAACCATAGTTTTAAGTAAGTAAATAGTGGTTATACTCATTATGAGAAGTAATCATGTTTTGGGACAGGGTAGTGGCAATGAAGCTGATGGGCAGTCTTTAGATTCTGGATATATTTTGAAGTTAAATCCAATAAGATTTGCTGATGGGTTGGCTGTAAAGGGAGTTATAGATGATTCCTAAATGTTTGCCCCTTGCCACCATCTCATCTCCCACCCTAAAAGTGATCTTTTTGTGAGCCCAGTTCATGTTTTTATCTCATTTTCCCATAGGGCCTAAAGCAGAATAGATGATTAATACATAACTCATTGAATGGTGGAGTAATTTAGCCACTTTTAATTTTACAAAATCCACATTTTTTTTCTCAGAGGAAATTACGAGTTGTTGTCAGGAAATATTTTACAAAACAGCACTGATTGGTTATTATAGTAATGAAGTATGTGAATGGCATATTAATGCTGTAAGCTTCATTAAAAAAAATGTTAAGAGTAAAGGTATAGTTTGGCTAGTAGAGATGATAAATTGCTGTGTTTTCCCCCTCTGATAAATTGCTTTAATATTTTTTTCTTTTACTCTGTTCCTTCCAGCATATAGAATAGTTAAAAGAAAAATGCTCATCAACTAGATGTTAATTCAGTATTGAAATTATATTTCTTAATCACACCCTTTTATAAAGTCAAATGGTAAAAAGGCTGAGTTAAGTAAAGTGCTCAGCCAAATAAAGCCCTTACATCTTTCACTGTGATGTCATTCTTCTTTTTAGAGTTCCCTGTATTGCAGGAAAATTAACTTAAGTTGAAATTGTTTACGATCGATATTCTAAATAAGTGACAGGTTATGTTTAATTATTTTTAAGTGTGGACCAAAGATAGTTTAAAGAAGGAAAAAGTATTATGGCTCTGAAATGATGAAATCAAACAAGTTACGCTTCCCAAAACATCACTCTCCTCTTATAACCAACAATACGTTTTATTAACATATAAGGATCTGTATTATGTCTAGATTTACTAGTGTTTAGGGAACAGAGGCTATAAATTTATCTGAAGAGTTGGATTATGCTTCCATTTAAGCTGCATGTTGAAACATGACTAAGAATGTGCCTTATGAAGAAGAGGGAAAAGAAGATTTCATTGAGACAGAACAAAACATGTAATGACTGCAGAGAATGATGAAAAGTTGTGTGTGCCTGATACTTGGGGTGGGTTACAATTATATTATGAAACTACAGGGTTAGTGTGGGATCAGCTTGTGAAAGACCCTGTCCATCCTAAGGAATTTAGCTAAGTTTATAAAGGTTTTTCTAAAAGGGATACATGACAAATTTATTAGAAAGATACAAATAACAGATTAGAAGATGAACTTGGTCGTAGTCTGTCAAATGAACTAGAACTCAGTTTCCATTTATTGAGCATTTACTATAGGCAAGGCTGGGGTAACTGAAGAAAAAATTCAAGCCTCGACTTTTGTTACTAAAAGATTCTCTGGGCAAATTATTGAATGATACAGAAAGCATCAAAAGAAGATGGAAGGAATACACAAAGTCACTGTACCAAAAGGAAATGACTGATGTTCAACTGCTTCAAGAGGTAGCATAAGATCAAGAGCCGATGATACAGAAGGAAGATATCTAAGGTGCATTGAAGGAATTGGCAAAGAACAAGGCACCAGGAATTGATGGAGTAAAAACTGAAATCTTTCAAGAAAGTGAGGCGGCAGTCCAGCGCATTAGCCAATTTGGATGCCTTTAATTTCCCTATCTTGCCTTATAACTCTGACTAAGACTTTCAACACAATATTGAGTAGAAGTGGTGATAAAAGGACATCTGTGTCTGGTATCTGTTCGCAGGGGGAAGACTTTCAGTTTCTCTCCTTTGAGAATGATATTGACTGCTAGTTTTGTATATATATTCTTAATTATGCTGAGGAATTTCCCTTTAATTCCTACTTTATTATTTATTTTTATCATGAATGGATGTTAGATTTTGTAAAATGCCTTTTTGGCATCAATTGATATGATCATGTGGTTCTTTTCCTTTTTTAAATTTCATTTTATTTATTTGGTGGATTACATTGATTGTTTTTCTAATGTTGAACCATCCTTGCATCCCTGGTATAAATCCCACTTGGTCATCATGTATTACTTTTTGATGTGGTGCTGCACTCTGTTGGCTAGGATTGTGTTGAGAGTTTTTGCATCTATTATGTTCATGACGGAGCCAGCCTGTCTGTTAACAACCAGGTACATTAGACATGGCACCAGCGGTGCTTCTTGCTCAGTCATATTTTGAGTGACTTCTCCAATGAGAGGTATCCTTCAGCACTACCTCAGACAGTGTCCTGTTGTGAGCCATAAGGTGTTCATTGGCAGAGTTTGGACATTTCTGCCTGGTTTTTCTTAGTCTGGAAGCTCTGCTGAAACCTCTCCATCATGGTACCCTTGTGAGTGTTTGAAATTCCAGTGGCAAAGCTTTCCGCATCATAGAAGATGTAAGCCCCGAAAGTACCACAAACTGACAGATGTGTATGGAACACACTTCTAGGACCTTGTAATTCTAAATTTCAGTTTATTTGGGGCAGCAGACAATGACAATATTTACCAATCAGTAGCTGTTGTTGTTGTTGTTGTTAAGTGCTTTCAAGTCAGTTCTGACCCGTAGCAATGTTGTACAAGGTTTCCTAGAAGTAGCTGCTGAACTTGAACCACCAACCTTACAGTTCATAATGACTTTGGAGTCTAGTACATTAACCTACAGTGCCATACCAGGACTCAGTAGTAGCTTCTGATTTTTTAAAAAAAATTTTACACACATATTCCATGGAAGCTTAAAGGCAACAAAATATGAAGAAGAAGTAAGGTCTAGAGACATTGTTTAAAGGTGCATTTGCATTGTAAACAGTTAGCTACAATTCAAAGAAAATAGTTTTTTTATTTTAAAGATACCTTTTTATCAACATGTGGGATTAAGAAAATTTTAGATATCTACATTAAAAGTATTAATTGTACTTAGATGGAGTCCTATTGTGGCGCCAAAGGTTAATGTGCTAGGTTTCAAGGTCAGTTTGACCATCAAGGTCAGAGGTTTCAAGCTCACCAGCCACTCATCAGAAACCCTATTCAGGGTCACTATGAGTCGGAACCAACTCAACAGCACTTAATAACAGCAACAATAAAAGTGAAAAAATAGAAAATGGAAATTTACTCTTCCTTAGTTTTAGAATAGCCAGAGAGATACGGTGACTAATTTTGAGAAATAATAGAAGCTAAGATTTTATCCTAAGAATTTTAATGTCTTTATTTCAATTTTAATGTAAAAAATCACCATTTGGGACATAGTGAGCATGTACTTGAGTAGTTGGCAGGAGGCTAAAACTCAGGATCCAAAGCAGCACAAATAAGCAGATGTAAAAAGAGTACAGAGTTGCTCCAAGGGATGCGGCATTCCAATCAAAATAAGTACCGACTATTTTGTGTTCTTCAGAGTAAGGTTAGTAATGTAAATATTAGAAAGCTAGAATCCCCGCATGGCTACCACAGTGCCTGTCAAGAGTCAGGGTTAAATAATTGAATGAATGAACGCAACATTAGAAAGTAGAAAATAAATTTCTTGTAAGCCAAACACTAATTTTTTTTATAGATTTGTGTGTGTGTGTTAAGTCTTTAGCTGTTATTGTTAAGTACCATGACCCTGTACAGGGTATCCGAGGCTGTAAATCTTTACGGGAGCAGAAAGCCTCATCTTTCTCCCGCAGAATGGCTGGTAGTTTCAAACTGCTGACCTTGAGGTTAGAAGCCCGATTCGTAACCGCTACACTACCAGAGCTTTAGTTAGTATAGATTAAATTTTAATGAGAACATGGTATGTATGTTGTTGTTATGTGCTGTCAAGTTGGTTCAGAGTCATAGCAACCTTGTATAGGGTTTCCGAGGAGCAGCTGGTGAGTTTGAACTGCTGACCTTGTGTTTTGCATTCCAGTGCTGTTCCTGCAGCACCACACCACTGGTCCAAGCATGGTAAAGACAGTTTTATATGATAAGTATGTTCTAAATTGCTGTGCTGTTCTTATAACGTCTCATATAATTTACTGTAAGGGAGTTACCATTTCTCTCATTATCAGGCAGTTATACTGGTTTTGAAGTTTTTACCTTTATAGCTGTATTCCAGTTAAAATCTTTATGCCTGTAATTCTTTTCTTCTTTTGTATTTTTTCTTGTAATAAATTATCAGAAATGTGAACTATTATTTTAGAAATGACTTTTTTTCCCACTGTAATCAATAGTATATGTGGGTACTAGTTTCATCACAACATGATTTTTAAATACATTTTTACTAATTTAATAATGAAAATCATACCTCACTATTGATTGTTTTCTTAATGGAAATAAAACTAATGTAACAAAAGTCTTATTTATTAGTTTGTATATATATGTTGAATTTTTACTTGTTATCTATGTTTTTGTTGTTATGTGCCACTGAGTCAGTTCCTACTAACAGTGACTCTGTATAGGGATTTCAAAAAAATAGCTAATAGGTTTGAACAGCTAGCCTTTTGGATAGTAGTTCAGTGCTTACCCAACAGTGCCACACCAGGACTCCTGTGGTGGTGGTGGTGGTGGTTGTGTGCCATGGAGTCGGTTCCCACTCATAGCAACTCTGCATAGTGTTTCCGAGGCTGTAAATCTTTACGGGACCAGAAAGCCTCATCTTTCTCCCATGACTCTGCTGATAGTTTCGACCTGCTGACTGTGAGGTTAAGAGCCCGACTCGTAACCACTACACTACCAGAGCTCATTAGGATTCCTACACGTATACAGTTATGTAAGGGTGGTCTGCCTCACTGCTAATAACGTTTTCTTTTTTTCTTTTTAAAGCTATCTGTGGAAGCACGTAAAGAGATGACTACAAAAGCTATTAAGACAGTCAAACATTTTATTGAGAAGCCAAGGAAAAGAAATTTAGAAGAAGACAGTCAAGAAACTAATGGTTCCAAATTTACCTATGCAGATGCTTTGAATCATTTGGAAAAATCACTTGCCCACCTGGAAACTCTCAACCATAGCTTCATTGTTTCTCTGAAGAATAGTGATCAGGTATTAGAAGGAAAATTTATATATATTCACTCACTCAGTATCAGATAGTGTATGCTGTCATTTACTCTTTAAAGCTATAGCCCAATAGTGTTGAATCTTGTAGAACTCCTTCACAAAGGTTCTTACAGGTTTATCCTTTAACCTCTTCATTATCACTGGATTGTCTCCACAAGTTTTATTTCCTTATAAAAGGATTTGAAGTCTCTCAGCACAATTGAGAACTGGGGAGGAGTGAGGTGGCAGGGTAAGAAAAGTTGATGAGGGGAGATGGATGTCTGGAGGTGAACTTTGGATAGATACCTCCATGGTAGTCCCTGATGCTGAAAAATAATAAAGGCAATAGCTTTAAAGCTCTACTTCTTGTTCATTGGTGTTTTGCACTACAATTGAATGGCAAGTTATTTTTCCCTAAATTTCAGAAAAATTCAGGAATAGCCTCCATTCTTTGCTTCAGTGTTTTTAAAAAATATATGGTCTCTTTATCCTGTTTTTATATTGCAAGTTTTAAATATAGCTTTATTATTTATATGAGGTTTTTGGTTAATAAAATTGTTTCTCATGCGTATTTTGATGTTAACCCCTCTTGGTGTCTCAAAAAGTAACATCATGCTGTTCAAGAGCCCCTGCCTGTGATCAGATTTGAGGCCTAGATATTAAATCTCCTTGTGTGGTGCTGTAGGATCAGCACTGGACTGTGAGCTAGAAGGTTGGCAGTTCAAACCCACCAGCTGCTCCTCAAAAACCCTAAACGGGGTCACTGTGAGTTGGTACCGACTCGACAGCACTTAACAACAACCGCAGCATATTAAGTCTATGCAAGGGAAACTGAAGGCCTGTGTAGCATTTGGTAATTTTGTTCAGTGTTACAGTAGTCTTAGATTTTAAAAAGTAGCCTTTTTATAATTGAAAAGTTAACAAGTAAATGGCTTTCATATACAAGTATCCCTACTATCCAAAAGCAGTGTCCCTAATAAAGTGAAAAAGCAGTTATCACCAATACAGAGAAAAATTATTTCCATTCCCAAAAAATAACGTCTTAAGTCATACCAAAAAAAAAAAAACAAATAAAACCTAAAGTAGCAGTAACATAGAGTGTTCCCAGACCGAGTTCAAAGTTGTGGCAGCTTGAGGCTGTGATGCCATGTGTGTAGTTCCCTAAGAAGGTGCTTGTGAATGTCACTTTACTGCTCTGCTTGTGTACTGCTTCTTTAGTGACTCCCTGCAAAACAAAAGCTAATGATAATTTCACTTTTCACCAAAATCCTCTTCATATTTCTTCCATTTAGCAAAAGCAGGTGCTAATGTAAGTTTTTAGGAAAAGTGAAGTGGCATACAGCGAACTTTAGAAAAGTAAGGGTACCTGTAAGTGAAAACAAAATTTAGGTATATATATAGTGTGACATTTGCCTTTTAATTCTCTGGTAGGTGAACATCTAAGTGGCCACTATCCTTTTTTGTGTTCCTTAATCTTTATAATTTACTGAATTACACTCTTCTGTGTAATTGATATTTTTTACTTTTTTATTATGGCAAACATATATGTAACAAAACATTTGCCAGTTAAACAATTTTTTTGCATGTCTAATTCTGTAGTGTTAATTATTTTCATCATGTCATTCAACTATAACCACCATTTATTTCAAGTTTTTCCATCACCCTTCACAAATTGAATTGTATTCTACCTGATTAGAAAGATCAGTACAGAATATAAATAATAAACACTTATAAGACTTCAGGGTTTTTATGAGACACATAAATGCAAACTCCTCTTTGGAAGCATGATGAGAAGAATTCAGAAGTTTAGTAGCAATTTCATTTTGATTTGTATTTTTCAGTGTCCGTTAGTCTATATAGTAAGTAACATTAAACAGTGGTCTGAACATCATAAATGCCTTTTTAGGAAAAAAAAAAATACTGTTACAATTTTGATTTTATCCTGCTGGTCTATACAGTTCTGCAATCTGTCATTGCAAGAACTAGGATAAAGTTTCAATTTTCAGGTAAAACTCATACTTACTAGTGTAACATTTCAGGTTACTTCTGTTAGATTTTTAAATCAAGCGATGTATATCATGTTCAACTCTAGAGTTACTACTCTCCATGTCCATGGGGTCAAGTGGATTCTTTACAAACACTCCTGTTTGTTTAGTGAGGTGTGACTTAAAGGTAACCTGTGACTACATTTGAATGTCGTTCAGTCAGAGAAGACTCTTTGGATTCCCGGGTCAGATACTGTTGTTGTTAGTTGCCATTGAGGTGATTCTCATTTTAGGAAAGGTGTCTTTCATAGCAAATAATGGAAATGATATTCAGTCCTAAACATTTGTCTATGTTAAGTTTACAACCATGATCTTAACATCCATAGTTTAATTATATACCCAGTAAAAGAACATCTTATACAGACATGATGGTTAGTGCAAAGGTAAGGGACTTTGACTTTATGGAGTCTTAGTTCTATCTCTGTTGGACAAGGATGCTAGTTAATTGCTGTAAATCATAGGGGTTATTTGTTGTTGTTAATAGAAAATTTCAAAATGGGGCGAATAGTAAAGTGAAAATGAAACCCTACAAGTTTATAAGCATGTCTTATCAATAACCAAATAACCTTGAAGACGTGTCACTGGACCTGGGGACTCAGGACCATAGTCTATAGGACATCAATGCCAATTGTGATAGTCCACTAAGACAATATTCTTCATCCTATTTTGGTGAACAGTGACTTGGGTCTTAAAGACTTCTGATTGGCCATGTGAGGTGCAACTGTTAGTCTCTCTTTACCCAGAGCAAAGAATGAAGAAATTCCAAGACATACGTAAAAAGTTAGTTCAAAGGACTGTTGACCATGCAAACTCTAGTTTCTATGACCCTGGTTCTGGAAGAACTGGATGGTCCCTGGCTATCACTGCTGACCGCTCTACAAGGGATCACAATAAGATGTCATAGAGTGGGAAAAAATGTGGAACAAAACTTTAAAAAAAAAAGACCAGGCTTACTGATCTGATAGAGACTGATGGAGATTACTAAAGAGTCACCTTTTAACCCTTTAAGACACCCTCTCTACCCCATGGCTCAGTGTTCAGCCAAGCCTATCAGGTGAACAGTAACATCAGGAAAATATGCACTGCCTAGAACAACCAACCACATGAGATCACAAGGGACTGAATTGGCCAGGGATAAATCTCAGAAGGCAGGAAGGTTTAGGAAAGAAGGACAAATGGAAATAGAAAACAGGGAGGAAATGAAAAAAGTGCTATTACGTGGTTGGAATTGCAATCAGTAAACAAAATGTGTGTGCACTATTGAATAGAAAACCAATGTGTTTCTGTAAACTTTCACCCAAATCACAACAAAAAGTTAGAAAATGAAACCTCATGTGTGCAGCTTCCAGCTATCTCCTATCTGTATCTATGGATTATGTTAAAGCAAAACTCAGTCATCTTTCACTTAAGAAATAAATGTTGTTAAGTGCCACTGAGTCGGTTCCAGCTCATAGTGACCCTTTATAGGGTTTCCAGGACGCTGCTAGTAGGTTTGAACCACCGACCTTACGGTTCACATTGACCTTGCAGTCCAGTGCATTATCCTGTAGCCTACACCTAGGACTCTTGTATATCACTAACATAATATATTAAATATAACCTCTACAGCATTGTTGTTAAGTGTATTCGAGTTGGGTTTGATTCATAGGGTCTGAGAAGCAGTCGATGGGTTTAAACTGTTGGCATTGTGGTTAGCAGTGTGGTGCTTATCCTACAGCACCACAATAAAAATAATTTATAGTAATTTTAATACCATCAAATATACAGTTAATACTAAGATTTTTACATGGTTATTTTCAAAGACAAAACAGTATATTTAGAATTACTTAGTAAACTATTAAGCCTGCAAAGTATTATTGTCGTAAAGTGACCATATTTAGTATGCTGAAAAGCAATGATTTATGATCCTTTTCTTAAATTTATTATTTTTGACATTTAGTTTTTATAGATATTCTCAAAGAGAAGCATGGACAAGGAAAAAGTAAACTTTTGGGTTTTGTGTGCAATCCTGGCTCCATCTTTCACATGCACATGATTTGGGACATGTTACTTAACATCTTTGATCTTAAGTTTCTTTTTCATAAAATGAGGTTAATTAAAACTACTTGTCTATCACAAGTCAAATACTGGATTCAAATAATTGGTGTTGAATAGGTTACAGTTGTTAGGTGATCATAGTGGATAATAATATTAGAGAGAGTGTTGTTCTTATAGTGTATTACTTTGTGCCTGGCATAATAGTAAAAGAAGACTTATATTTCATATAATTTAATCTGTTCACAAGAACCTATTGTCCTCATCCATATTTACAGATATTAAAATTTGAGATCACAAAAGTCCAATAAATATAAAATGATAAAGCAAGGATATACTCTTAAGTCTGGATGAGTCTGGAGCCTAAGCTCTTACTAACCACTACATTTTCTTGAGTGTGACTTTAGTGGTTACGTATTTGGTTTGAGAATCTTCTAAATATGTTTTATTTTATGCATGTGTACGTGTATAATTCCTAGTTGACATTTCGCTATTGAATGCCATGTCTTTCCAGGAAATGCTACAGAAATACAGTAACCTCTATGATTTGTCTCGATCAGACAAAGGGAAGCTTCTTGATCAAGCTGTGGCCATGTGTTTAGATGGCCAGCCTCTAAGAATGATTCAACAGCTGCTAGATGTGGCTGTTGGCCCTCTAGGAATCTCACCCAAGGATGTAGTAAAGAATGCGGTAATGAAAATAATTTCTGTGTTAAGGTAAGCTATAGCATAGTCATTGAAGGAAAACCTTAAGTGATACTTTGCCGGTAATAGCGCTTGCCTTGTGGTTATTTAGAAAATAAAATAAAATGTGTATAGAGACATTTTTATAAACTCTTATTTTGTGAAAGTGAGTGAGATGGTTATGAGTTCTCCAAGTCTTATGTTTTGAAATGGAAAAGCAGGAAAATGTTTTATTAGTGGTACTGTGTGTAACATGGTGAAAAGCTAACTAACTTCCCGTTGAACCCCCTTTTTGCCTTCCAAACCTCCAAAAAAAGAACTTGTTCTTGAAATAAAAGGGAAGGGCCTAAATGGCAAAAAGGCAATTGTCAGAATGCCATGTGACTTCAGTACCTTTTCTAATTTCCCTTCATTGAAGTAGTGGAAAAATGGCTTCCAGATTCTTTTAAAGTATGTAAGATAAGGTTAACCATACACTGAATAAGTTAGTGTCTTAGGACATTATTTACCTGAAATTAATGATATAAAACCAACAAATGAGAATTCTCATTCTGTGTTACTATGCCTATGTCTTTATAGGAATGCATTGAAGAGGCTTTAGAAGAGGAAAAAGTTAAAATAATGAGGCCTCAAGTACTTTCTGTGAATAATGCAATTAGGCTAAAAGATTTAGTTGTGTTTAATTTATTCTGCTTTAAAGCATTCTTTGTAATTCTGTATTGCTCTTGAGGAACTTTTTGATTAAATGCATGTCAGTTTTCTGCAGCTGAACTGAAATCAAATGAGCCTTTATCAGTTTAATTACCCCAGCTTCATACACTTTTCACCTAATGCTCTGAGGTATTTGGTAAATTTATAGAGAGAAAAAGACATAAAATAGCATACAGTATTATTGAAAGAACAAATGCCAGATTTAAAAAGTATTGTTTTGTAATTAGTTTATGATGATTTTGTTGGTGGTTATGAGAATAAATTTCCTCTTTCAAATTATATTTGTTTGTAACATTTTATACTTTTGATTCATAGTTAGCATTTTGATTTTTTAAATCATGCTTTAAACTCACAAAAAACATTTTGAAAAGTTAGTGCTTTGATGAATTTGGTTTGTTTCCTAAAAGTGACATCTTTTCTTACAAATTAAAATCCAACATGGTAAGTGATATTCTTAAAATTATAAAATTCTGGCATACACTAGACACTTCTCTCTCTCTTTCCCTGTGCACAGTTCTGTTACTGACTATTTGGTTCTGATCTAATAAATGGCATGCTTGGCACACAAGGCATTCAGTAAATGCCAGTTAAATTATTCAGTTGTGGAAGAAAAGGGTACGTGAAATTCAGCTACCTCTTTTTTAAAGAAGACGAAGTTGCTGTTGCTAGTATCCATAACATTTTAGAGAATAAGTAAACTTTTAGTAGAAACACAACAAAGAAGGCATGATTTAAATTATATAACGTAAATTATTTTAAAAATTCTTCTGAAAATTTGTCTTCCTATGCTGCATCTTCAGAATTCATTAGAGTTCCAGATACACACATCTGTAAAATGGGCATAACAATGGTACCTGAAACATGGAGCTGTTGACACATTAAATGGCATGATGTATGTAAACTTAGCAGTACATTCCAAATAAACGTTGTTGTTTTATTTGTTGTTGTTGTTAGATGCCGTCAAGTCTGTTCCAACTCATAACAACCCTGTACGCAGCAGAAGAAAACACTGGCCAGTCCAGACCTGTCTTCACAGTTCTTACACTTGAGCCCATTGTTGGCAGCCACTGTGTCATTCCATCTTGCTGGAGGGTCTTCCTCTTTTTTTTTTTGCTGACCCTCCACTTTTCCAGGCATAATGGCCTTCTCTAGGGACTAGTTCATCCTGACATTATGTCCAGCACATGAGAGAGGCAAAGTCTTTCCATTCTTGCTTCTTTCAAGACAAATTTCTTTCGTCTTTTGGCAGTCCATGGTACTTTTAATATTCATCTCCAGCACCATAATTCAAATGCATCGATTCTTCTATAGTCTTCTTTATGCATTTGTCCAACTTTTGCATGCATATGAAGCAACTGAAAATACTTTGAGTTAGATCAGGCACATCTTAATCCTCAAAATATACATTAGTTGTTTTGTTTTTTGATAAATAAATAAGACTAACTGGATAATTTACATCTAGTGTTTAACTGTAGCTCACACTATAGTCAGTGAGTAATGGATGTTTTTTGAATGATAGATTTTGACATTTCCTTAATGTGAACACATGTAGATATTAGACTGGGATCTCCTTGAAGACAGAGAATGCTCCACTTCCGCCCTTAGTTTATAGTATAAGTTTGGTTCATTTGTAGACTACAGCTGCTAAGAATTAGCTGGCTATGTACTCTTTGCAAATCCAGTACATTAGAGTGCAAATACCAATTTTCAGTCTTGACCAACCCCTTCTGAATCATTTGTTCTCTTTTTCCTTCATAGTGGGGGCAGTGATGACCTTGGTGGGCCACGGGACCCACTCCTAATCCTGGAAGGTGTTGTTACAGCAGTCCATGCCAGTGCGGAAAAGAGGTAGGAATAGAAGAGTGTTTGAATCTTTATTTAACACTTTCCTCAGAATCTTAGTAGTTCCATAAACATCCATATTGGTGAGACTTCAGAAACTAGGCAGCATTTTAGGTGTTTAGGAAGAGTTGGTGGTTTCTACATAACTCATTATAGCAGTGTTCCTTGGCTCTTCATATGAAGACAAGGTTTCCCCAGCTCTGTGCTGACTGCATCAGCTCTAACAGGAAGCTCACTTTCTCTTCTGAGCCTTGTTTTCCATGGAGACCATTGTCTTTTCTTAACATCTTCATAGGGAGGCCTGGGAAAGGAGACTGCTGTGAATGTCTCAAAATATGAGGAAACTCTATCTCCAAGAGATAAACTATACTGATTAAGTATGGACATCCCTAAAGTAACCATATATTGCATTATTTTAAAAAATCTTTTTATGAGTTAGCTCCACCTTTTCTGAGTACTCTGAGTCTATAGTTTAGAAAGGTGTGAGTGCCTGTAATACAATCTTACATCCAGTCACCATGGTAGTGATTAAAAAAAAAATAGCAACCACATATTAATAATTATTTATGAACCTTTTTAGAGTTTAAAAGAACATTCAGATGTTTAATCTACATGTCATTATTTAATTGAAAATATAATCATTAAGAAATGCTTTTAGAAAACTCGTAGTTTCATTCAGTAATATAATTATTTCATTTGCATATTACCTTTCAGTTATTGTGTTCAGGTATAGATACATTTTTATGTAGATTCAATCAAAATGTATGAACACATTTATAATCGACTTCACTATTTTATTTTTACAAATGTGATGATAATTTTAAATGTTTGCATATACTGTTGCTATTTTCATAAGAGGATGTGAAGATTCTGAGAGAGAATTGAATTGCACTGGATCATAAACATGGGAACTAGATCTTAGTTTCAGCTGGGCTCAAAAGTATTATTTAGTACTCAGGTACTTCAGATTTCCATGTGTTGGTTTGCACCTGAGATTTGAGTGGAAGACTATAGGATAAGCTTTGTGGGTGAATTTGGAAAACATTGCAAGCAGAACCCCCTACAACTTTACCTGTTGTATTGCACAATTTTCCTAAACCTCTTTGCTTTTGGGTCTTTAGGTAAGAATGTGACAGTAGCAGAGGCTAATTTAAACCCCTATTTATAACGTGTCATACTCTGTGCTAAATCATGAGATGAAGAAGATACAGTCTCTAACTACAAGGAGCTCACAATCTTGCAGGGCAGACAAGCTGTTCCATGGACATAATAACTGTATATGTTGCTGTTCAGTGCCGTCCAGTCAGTTTCAACTCATAGTGACCCTGTAAAAGGTTTCTAAGGCTTTAAATCTTCGGGGAGCAGAAAGCCTCCCTCATCTTTCTTCCATGGAGCAACTGGTGTGCTCAGATCACCATCCTGTGGTTTACAGTCCAGTACTCATTGTGTGGATCCACCATATTCCCCAATAACTGTATTTGCTGTTGTTGTCAGGTGCCATTTAGTCAGCTCTGACTCAAAACACCCTATTCACAACAAATGAAACATATCCTTGCAGTTGTTGTGTTGAAGCCCAATGTTGTGCTGCCACTGTATCCATTAGTTTCATTGAAGATCCTCCTCTTTTTCACTGACCCTCCACTCTACTAAGTATGATGTCTTTCTCTAGGGACTGGTCCCTCCTGACAACATGTCCTCACTAATAAGGAGCATTTTGGCTTTACTTCTTCCAGAGCAAATTTGTATGTTCTCCTAATAGTCCATGGTACTTTCAATATTTTTCTCTAATACCGTCATTCAAAAACATTGATTCTTCTATATTACTTATTCATTTTCCAACTTTCACATGCGTATGAGTTGACTGAAAATAACATTACTTGTGTCAGGTGACATCTTTGCTGTGTAACACGTCAAAGAGGTCTTTTGCAACAGTTTTGCTTAATGCAGTATGTTGTTGGATTTCTTGACTACTGTTTCCATGTGCATTGGTTGTGGATCCAAACAAAATTAAGTCCATGACAACTTCAGTCTCCATTTATCATGATGTTGTTTATTAGTTCACTTGTGAGCATTTTTGTATTCTTTACATTGTGGTGTAATCCATGCTGAAGGCTGTAGTCTTTGATCTTCATCAGAGTTATGGTTAAGTGATATAATTCATGGCACATGTTAAGCTTTCCTAAGTTATTGTTAATTACGTTTTCTTTCTCATTTACTGCTTTCAGGTCTTGGGTTACTTTTAGAACTCCCAAGTGGTCTTCAGGACTCTAGCTTCTCATTCCACTCTCTTTGTGGAATGCTAGAGGACACTTTGTGTGTTGAGGGTAAAAAAATCAGCTTCTAGTTATGTGAAAAACTGGCTTGGGCTCAAAGCCACAAGTGGATTTTAAACTCCTGTCCTCCACAAATATGGCCTGAGTTATCCCCAGTCTGTGTACCTTTCTAATCAATAACCTGGTTATGATGTTTGGGTGCTGAGAATTCCTCTGTCATTCTCATTCCATACAAAATAATATAAAGTATTCTAGTGGTTACGAATCGGGCTGTGAACGTTAAGGTCAGCAGTTCGAAACTACCAGCTGCTCCGCGGGAGAAAGATGAGGCGTTCTGCTCCCGTAAAGATTTACAGCCTTGGAAACCCTGTACAGGGTCGCTCTGAGTCGGAATCAACTCCATGGCACATAACAACAACAAACAACATTCTCAATAAAATGTTGTGTCATGAACTAAAAAGCTTAGTTATATGCCAGATATGAGGTGCTTCAGAGTTTTTATTTTATGTACTTACTTGATTCTCAACAACTGCATGAGTTAGGTCCTGTTATCCTCTAATTAAGTGACTTGTTGCTCAAAGTTAAACACTATTAATAAGTGGTGAAGCTGAGAATTGGATCTAGGACTGATAGCTCTAAAGCCTGTAATTTGAAAGCATTAAGCTGCTCTGCCTTTGCAGCTTTGTATTTCAACTCTTGCTTATCTAGGTTAAGAAGAAACCTTTTCTACCGAAGTTCTCGCTCCTTTAATTTGCCACCCACATAGTTATGCTTTAATTTTGAAATATTTTACCATTTTTTCTTGCTGTTCCTTTTGTCTGGTTTATGTGTTTCCCACCTTTCCATTTACCTGCATCCTGCTCATCTCTTATAGCCCTGTTCAGGTGCCACATTCTCTGTAAAGCCATTCTTGATGCTCCTCACGCTTTTGCTAAAATAATTTGTTCAAATTTGTATTAGTGATTTGGGGAACAGTCACTTTTAAAGTCTTTCTGTTCCATTGTATTATTTGTTCTTTGAATGCAGAGACTGTATAAAGTTTCATCTCTATATCATCAAATACAAGTATTAGGACTTTAATAATGTTGGTGATGCTGACAACTATTGGTTAAGTCCATCTTCTCTGCCACTTACTATGCTGGGCATTTTATCTATATTATCTCAGCTTTACTGACTCCTGGAGACATGTTCTTGGAACTTTTGTGTCTGAAACTATAAAATGAGATTGATAGCATTTATGACTTTTTCCTGAGTTGGTAGGCAACGATGGGGTCAGGGTCAGAGTCCCTTTAGAATCTCCTACCCGCCAGAATTCTTTTTCCACTACATTGTACAGTCTATTCACTTTACACATAATAGATACCTGGAAAATATTAGTTACATCCCGTTGTTTCTGTGTACCACTTTCGCCATTCCTCATATATATTAAGAAGGACACTGGTAAAAGTAACAAATTGTTATTGTTGTTAAGTGCCACCGAGACATTTCCGACTGATAGCAACCTTGTATAGGTTTTCCAAGGCTTTAAATCTTTGCAGGAGCAGAAAAGGAATTATTTTAATTGTTCTAAAATCTGACACGTTTATTATTGAATATACACTCAGAGACATACTCAGTGGCACTGTAGAAATTTGCATTTCTTGGAAGTTTTAAAATTTTTTCTTGAAGTCTCATTAGAGTATAGAATTTAGTTGAAAGTAGGTTAGTGTCAGCCTCAGTGTAGGTGATTCATTTTTAGAAGCCTCGTAAGTCTGTGACTACAAAACCTTGTATATAATTCAGTGCTTTTGCAAGGCTCTCTAGGGCTTTGCAGGCATATAAGGCTATCTGAATAACCTCTTGAAAATCATTGATAGTAATTCATTGCCATCATCATCAAACAAGTTGTTTCTCTGAAATGTTCCATTTGGGATTACAAGAGAGGTGATAGAAAGTTGCACAAAATGTTTCCATCTTTGAGCCCTTTTAGACTCCACAGTTATTTGATCTTTACTCAACTCACTGTTATCGAGTCAATTCTGACTCAGAAGTAGCCCTCTATAGAGCTCCTGAAACAGTAAAGCTTTACCGGAGAAAAAGCCTCATCTTCTTCTCACAGAGCAACTTGTGAGTTTGAACTGTCGACTTGTGCTTTAGTAGTCCAGTGCTTATTCTACAGTGCCACCAGGGTTCCTTTATCTGCTCTAATTTGATCTTGGGTAACAGTAAAATTTGATACTCTGCTGTATTAGATTTCTAACCACAGGGAGAAGGTGTTCAATACAGATTACACCTCAATGTAAGGAAAACAAAAATTCTCACAATTGGACCAACAAGCAGCATCTTGATAAATGGAAACATGATTGCGGTTTTCAATGTCCAAGGAAGTTGCAGTCAGAAATCAAATGACATATTGCATTAGCGGAATCTGTTGCTAACGGTCTCTTTGTTAAAAAGCGCAGATGTCAGTTTACAGACTGCGCTGTACCTGAACTAAGCTATGGCGCTTTCATGAGCCTCATATCCATGGGAAAGCTGTATAATGAGTAAGGAAGACCGAAGAAGAACAATTAAAATGGTGTTGGCAAAAACTGTCAGAAGAACAAACAAATCTGTGTTGAAAGACGTACAACCAGAATGCTCCTTAGAAGTGACGATGGTGAGACTTCGTCTTACTTACTTTGGACAAATTATTATGAGGAACCAGTTCCTGAAAAAGGACATCATGCTTGGCAAACTAGAGGGTCAGTGAAAAAGAGGCTGAACCTCAGCGAAATTGATTAACAAAGGGGCCACATCAGTTAACTCAAATAGGAACAATTGTGAGATAATGCAAAACCAGGCAGTATTTCTTTCTGTTTTTCCTAGATAGAGTTGCTATGAATTGGAACTGACAAGACAGCATCTAACAGCAATATAATAGCTGAGGAGTCCTAGTGTGGCTCTGTAGGATAAACAATGGACTGCTAACCACAAAGTTCGTAGTTCAAACCCACCAGCTTCTTCTCGGAAACCCTATACAGAGTTGCTATGATTTGGGACCAACTCAGTGACACTTAGCAACAACAACAAGGACAAGTGGTTAATAATTTTTTTAAAGAATCTTTTTAACATGTTACACACCTATTGCCATCAAGTTGACTTCAATTCCTATCATCCCTATTGGACAGAGTTGAATTGCCCCATGATTTCCAAGACTGTAAATCTTTAAGGAAGGCAGCTGCTGTATCTCTCGTGGAGTGACTGGTGGGTTTGAATCCCCAACCAATTGGGAAGCAGCTGAGTGCTTTAACTACTGCACCCCCTAGGGCTCCTTCAGAGTAGAGCAGCTCCATATGGTTTCTAATGCTGTACGTTTTCACAGAAGCAGACTGCCATATTTTTCTCCCATAGAGTGACTAAATGGAATCAAACTGCCAACCTATTGGTTAGCAGCTGAGCATTTCAGTGCTCCTTTGTGCCACTAGGGCCCCTTTTTAGTGATACTTATTTTCATATGATACTGTGTACTATTATTTATTACAGTTCCCCTCTCTGCAACAACATTTGTCCTACCTCATCCATGTGGCTCCCCATTTATGTCTTATATTTCACAAATGAACAAAGCAAAAATATTTGGTGTACACTTACAAAACAAAAAATATATGTATTAACTTAAATATCTAAAGAGCACATTCTGCCAGCCAGCCTCCTGCCTGATGTTGCATGCATGGCCTTTTTCAGTCCATGGACCTAGAGACCGCATCTCCTCTGTCTTTCCATGCCTCCACCTCTGCCAGTTTCTCTGTTGTCACTGCTTTTCCAGGTAGGGATCTCATGCTCCACTCATGATGGTCAGGTCTGGGATTGTCTGTTCCTGAAATGAAAGATTAACTACTCTCTGCTTTTAGTTATACATCTTCTACAATTATACTGTGACTTTCACAGTTAATCCTGCTAACAGTTATTCACAATTGAGTCATAAAATCTTACCACCATCATCCTCTATCCCCATTCACTAGATCCATCTGGAAAAGAGGGAAACTATTCGGTGGGGATTATGTCTTACCCCCCTTATACTGAAACTAAGCACATTCATGAAAGTTTGTAAGCCAGCCACTTCATGCCTTTATAGCCCCTCCATTTATGATAGCCAAGGAGTCAATTTCTCATCCCTATCAATCCAGTAAACTGAGGAAACAAGATTGTTCCTTGATATCAAGAATCCTTCCATTCTGCATGGAATTTTATGTCACTGTATTCATAGGCAAAAGCCTAGTTCATCAAATTGTAGCAATTTATACTTAGTCACAGTATTAAACATCTTTCTATTCCTCTATTCGAGTTCTGGTCAACTAGACAGCCAAGCTAGGTTAGATGGGCACTAGCTGCAATTCTGGGAGTTCACACTTAACCTAACCCTGCACTTCAGACCAGCTGACTGCTTCACTTTCAGCTGTAGCCCCCAGGGGCTAGGTCAGTGCCCCTGAGCTCAGGAGTTCACACATCTTCCTAAACTTCAGGCCAGCCAGCCCTTCATCTTATCACCCTCACTTCAAGATCAACAGCTGCCACTGTAACATGGTCAAACTCAGCCCATGTCTTCATTGCTACATTTTCTCCACCAACTCTGTGCTACTTCACAACAACAACAAACTCACAAGTAGACCCAGGTGGTCACCAGTGAGCATACTAGACTGCTCATGGGTTCCCTTTGAGTTTCCCTTCTAAAAGGGAAACTGATAGGCTGACTTTTCTTTCCTAGATGCCGCCAAAGCAAACAGCTTGCTTGATACTCAAACAGCCCAAGCAGTTCACTTTTGTTTGCAGGTCTTTGTTTCACTAAGAATCTTCTGTCCTCCCTGCAGTCTGACACTATGATACTGTTTAAAAACACTTGCATTTTACATAAGTTTTAAGTACATAACATGGTTTGCCATATACTCTATTAAACCTAAAGTTATCCTCTTAAGAGGAAAATAATAGTTTCCCAAATACAGATAATTTAGGTCAGAGAACACATTTGATTACTGGGGGGGGCAAACTTCAGAGTTTAATTCTAAAATATATAGGAAACTACAACACCTCTGCAAGAAAAAGACAAATAACCCAATTAAAAAATTGGCACAGGACATGAACAGACACTTCACCCAAGGAGGAGATCCAGGTAGCCAACAAACATCCAAAGAAATGTTCATGATCACTAGCCATCAGAGAGATGCAAATCAAAACAACAATGAGATATCATCTCACACCAGCAATAATAGTAAAGATCTAAACAGTAGAGGGCAATAAATGCTGGAGAGGATATGGAGAGACTGGGACCCTTTTGCATTGCTGGTGGAATTGCAAAATGGTCCAACCTCTCTGGAAAGCAATATGGTGCTTCTTCAGAAGGTTGGAAATAGAAATACCTTATGATCCAGCAATTCCTCTGCTTGTTATTTACCCACAAGAAATACGAGCCATAACTCAGAATAGATATATGCACACCAATGTTCATAGCAGCACTATTTACAATAGCAAAAAGATGGAGACAGCCAAAGTGCCCATCAGTTGAAGAATTGGATAAACAAACTGTGGTACATACACACAATGGAATATTATGCTACCTTGAAGAATTAACAAGGAAGCTGCAAACCATCACATAACATGGATGAATCTTGAGGACATTATGTTGAGTGAAATTAGTCACAAAAGGAGAAATATTGCATAGGACCACTATTGTAAATGACTAAGAAAAAGAACCCATACTAAAGAGGGGAGGATTCTTTGCTGGTTACTGGATGTGGGGGCAGGGGGTGAAGGGAAGGAGGGGAAGGTGGAGCACAGGGCAGAGAATAGACACAGGATATTTTGGGTGCTAGGGAGTGGGGCATACACAAGAAAGGGGAGAGGAACGGAAGAACAAGGTGGATGGGAAAACAATTAGGCAGGTTTGCGTGGGCTAAGTGGGACAAAGGTAAATAATGATTGTATGCACAACCTTGGAACAACAGGGCTCTGGGATCCAGGGATTGAGATATGGTTGAAATGGGGAAAAGGGGGGAAATAATGTTAAGATGCTTGGCTGTCTTTTGAATCTTGGTTTCCCTTGTATACCATTATAAAATAGACACTTGAGGGAGAGAGAAAGGAATAGCCAGAAATATCACCATAGAAAGCTTGTAAGTCAGTCTTCTGCCTATAACTGATTGGAATACCTAAAATGGGGCTATAGCATGCCCAGTGAGGGAGGCTCTCTGTGGAACCTCTGCATTACATAGGACCATAGGTGGAATCCTGAACCCCATCCAGAATCTTCTGAGGTGGAAAATTTCCACTTGAAAGGACAAGCAAACCAGCCTGGAACAGCTAGAAGAACAGAATATACTTCTTGAAAGAAAGAACAACAGGAAAAATACAAAACAATAACAGCAGTCTGACTGACTACTACAAGAACAAGCAAGTTGCTCTCCCAGGAGACATCAAGGCAAGTGGTCGGGTCCTCTCTGGGCAAACCCTCTTCCAAGACTGAGATGCAATGGGAATACATGAGCAGAAACGTGCTCTGCCTGGTGACCACATTGGTCACCAATAAGGAGAAGTGAGGGAAAAGCAGCAATGAAGCTGTGAGCTAAATCCAACTACATTCAATACACTCTTGTGAACCCAGATGGACACCTGGTTGGCCAGCAGTTTGGCAAGACCTGGGGACTCCTAGGCCCAGAGTCAGTGACATAGCCACAGAGGACTAGGGTGGAGAGTGAAGCATCCAGCTGATAAGAAGAGAGGGCATATGCACAAGAACACCCATACTTAACTGATAATACCAACTTGACCTGGCTTCAATGGCTGGATAATTAAAGCTCAACTAGAAGAAGAAAGATGAGGGAAAAAAGAGTAATCTGATACAATTTGATGAACTTGACCTACACCTATGGATGCATTAGCTCAAAAGAGAAAACAAATCTTTACAGCGAGGATCATTCCCACCCCCCTCCATACACAGGGTGGACAATGATGGGTAACTTGGGCATTGGCTACCCAAAATGGGGGGCTACAAAGGCAAGCAGTGACTGGCTTACAACCTTTCAAGAGGGAGCCTACTTCCAGAGGGTGCAAAGGAAGATAGAATCTCCACTGAGTAGTATCCAATCTGTCTGGGCAGGACTGATGAAAGGAGATGGGGATAGCACTCATGTGGTACAATAGTGAATAATTACTATCAGGACTGACTGTGAGGGTTGGAAACATAAAAGTAGATGTTTTGTAGCAAAAGGAGGGGAGTGGTTGACTTTGCAGTCCAGGAGTGGAGGTCCATCGGACCATCAAGGGAGAAGAGCAGAGTGCGGGACCCTACCCAGAGAAACAGTGACACCAGGGATGGAGGCAGAGACGATGACATAGAGAGATGGAGCGGCTAGGGACTGTGTAGACCCAGAGTGGGGCTGTGTGCTGATGACCAGGTGGCAGGCTTGCGGGGTGTACCATTTGGTTGTTTGATGATGCATGGAGGGGATTGTAACCAAGGTGATGAAATGATATACAATAGGATGAATGTAAAGTTAATGTTCTTCCATGTAAACTATCACATAACTCACAATAAAACATTTACAAAATAAATAAAACAAAAAACTTCAGAGTTTATTTCTAACTGTTGACTTTGACTTACAGAGAGGAATTGGTGTCTTCTGAGGAGCTGCTGGAGTGGCTGCGGCCTTTCTGTGCGGACGACACCTTGCCAGTGAGGCCCCGCATCCGTGTACTGCAGGTTGTGGAGCAGTCCTTCCGTCTGAGTGAAGAAGATGGCAAACTCCTTGTGTTTTTTAGAACGGAGGCCATTCTCAAAGCTGCTTGGCCCCAGAGACAGGTCAGGGAAATTCTGTTGGTTAATTCAGACTTTTCCAGTACATTTGTCCATCCAGCTTTTTCATCTTTGTGTATGTAGAAAAAAATTTCTTGTACTTTTCCATGTTTGAAGAAGCATATGCATAGTCGATGATGTCATACTCACTTAACATTTTTTTAATCATTTTTCTCATCACAGGATAGAGTCAGGATTTTTCTGTCTCTCTGTTAATTATGGTAGCTCATTCTTTTTCCAGAGAGATGCAGATCTCAGTGAAAAGGCAGTAAGCAGTTTAGCTTGTACCATCAGGCTCTGCCCAGACACTAAAATACCCTCCCTTTCTCTTTTGTACCTAGATAGATTATAATGTAGAAGAATCATTGGATCTTCATTTTGACATATCATTACTCAGTTCATCACCTCTGTAGAATGATCCCTGATTTCTTGAACTTCTTTGAATTTTGAATTCCACACATTTGAACTTTAACTATGTATCATTATTTCCTGCTACTCTGAAAACTCTGAATCCCCAGAGGAGCTCTTAACCATCATTTGGGTCCCTTTAAGTATGCTGTGCACATACTCAGAGCTTAAATACTTGTGGAAATGAGAATGCTAATTCCTAAATCAAAGAAATAAGGTAGTTTTTGAAGTCTGTCTTAAATTCCTAATTGACATATGCTAAGGACCCAGGATCTGGGAGTCAGCAACCTCAGTGAAGTGCTTCAGCATACACAGCAGGTCATCACGCTGGTAAATGTAAGACTTTCTAGACAATGTCATCTAAAAGAGTTTCCTGAAATCTGACACCTACCTAATTTAACTCTAATTTTAAAGATCTACTTTATAATTTATATTTATATGTCTACATTAATGTATGTAAAAAATGTGAATTTCTTTTTTTAATGACTCAAGTATTAAGACTGTCTTGGGATTCATTTCAGAGAACCTTCATATTTATTATCCTCTATTTTCCTCTGCGATATAGGTAGATAAATACTTCTATATACTGTTCGTAGTTAAACTGAAATGATAACTTATCAAAGATTTTCTAGTCTAGAATTGCTAAGATGTAGGAAGAAAGGTACTAATATCTGAATTATAATCTCCTCATACCACTATGTTCTTACCCAGGTAATTAGTCTCAACAATTTGTCTTAAATTATATTAAGAAACTACTAGTAGCTTTTTAAAAGAACAGTGTCTAAGCACAAATGCAGTAGGCTCTAACATATTCAAGGGACCTGAAATAGTAGAAGTTAAAGGTGACTCTTTTTCAGCAAACTTGAAGTTTCATCTATGCTCACTAAAGTAAGCTTTAAAGTATGTCCCATCATTTTTGCCATATAGGAGTCCTGGTGTGGTGCTGCAAGTTAATGCCCTGGATTGCAAGGTTGGTTTGAACTGCAAGGTCGGTGGTTCAGGCTTACCAGCTGCTCCTTGGAAACCCTATACAGGATTGCTGTGAGTCAGAACCAACTCCACAGCACTTAACAACAACAGTTTTTTTCCATATGGAATTTAGGTTCTGACTTTCGTCCTGAAGCAAATGTATATTGCTGTGGTTACGTACTTTCCTGCAAGAACCTCCATTTTTAAAGTTCTCAGTCTTGCTCAATTTCATCTTCCTTGATGACTAGAACCTAAGAGGACAATCAGGCTAATTTCTTTGTTTAGAGACCCACTTCATGTTTTGTCATATGTGTGTGTGTGTATGTGCGTGTACATAGAAAATATTATGAAACAATGTGGATACCAGGAAAGGGGGAAACATCCATCTTCTCTGTCATGTTGAAAACAGTAGAATGTGTTTAGACTTGATACTTGGGCCTAGATCCTTCAGAAATAATACAAGTTTCTTTTTAAACTTTTCTGAAAGTTTCAGTTAGTAAAAGAATGAGTTGCAACTTCTGTAGAATTTAATGATTTCTGAATGATTTTAGAGATTTAAATTTCTTCTTTTTAATTTTTCTTTATTTTCTCCAATAATCAAAATTTAATACAGCTAAGGCTTTTTTTAAGGAATTTTGGTGGCTCAGTGACTTATTGCTCAGCTACTAACTGTAAGGTTGATGGTTCAAATCCAGCAACTGCTCTGTGGAAAAAAGATGCGGCAGTTGTCTCCCATAAAGACTTTGTTGTTGTTAAGTGCCTTCGAGTCGGTTCCGACCCATAGCGACCCCGTACAGGGTTTCCGAGGGTGTAAATCTTTACGGAAATAGAAAGCCTCATCTTTCTCCCGCGGAGCAGCTGGTAGTTTCAAACCGCTGACCTTATGGTTCGCAGCCCGATTTGTAACCACTACGCTACCAGAGCCTTAGAAACCCTGTGGGGTGATTTTACTCTATCCTGTAGGGTCTCTGTAGGATAAGCACTGAACTGCAAACCACAAGTTTCCAATTCAAGCCTACCAGCTGCTCTGCAGGAGAAAAATTGAAACTTTCTGTTCCCACAAAGATTTACAGCCTTGGAAACTCTAGACAGGACCACGATAAGTTGGTTTTTGTTTGGGTTTTTTTTGAAGACTTTGTTAAGATGCCTCTTTCAGGCAGCTGTCCATACTAACAACTTTATTTATATGAGTGCAGCTTTCTTATTTGCAGAGTACTGGGACTTCAAAAAGTTTGTAGATAATTCCATTATCTTTTTTTCCATGAACTTTTGGAAGCCTCCTCATATATATTAATTCCTAATTTCTCCAGTATTTCTTCTGTGATGATGCAAGCTCTGTAAAGAGCATCACTCCCAAAAATCTTTCAAGTGTAATAAAAGGAAACTTCATTGTACCCTCCCCCCTTTTATTTTGTCTTCCTCTTTCCTTTCCCTTGTATAACAACAATTTTCCCATAGGTACTAATTTCCTGCTCTTGACAACCAATGACCTGGGTTTCTTAAAATGTTTTGTAATTGATTCAAGAAAACTATTGTCCTGGCTTGGTGGTGGTGGTTGTATGCCACTGACTCATAGTGACCCTGTATAGGGTTTCTGATAAGCAGCTGGTAAGTTTGAACTGCTGACCTTGTGGATAGCAGTACAGTGCTTATCTTAAAACGCCACACTAGTACTTAATTTTCTTATTTAGTTGTTGTTGTTGTTAACTGTTGTCAAGTCAGTTCCAACTCATAGCAGCCTTTTATATGGGTCCCAGGGAGTGTCTGGTGGGTTTGAACTATTTCCCTTGCAGTTAGCAGTCCAGTGCGTATCCTACAGTGCCACACCAGGACTCCTATTTATTTATAATCTCTGTAAAATAAATGAATGATTATCTCTTCCTCCATATCCTTTAGAATTTAGTATTCTCGGCCAGCCTGGTATTGCTGATTCAAATCTATTTTGGAGTGCAAGCACATTTCATGGAGAGCTCAATCTTATCATTGTAAATAGATTCTTGCTACTTGAGAAATGAATGCAGAAAAACCATGGTTTCAGAATGGAAACATGAACAAGTCCTGGGATGTGACAGGACTGTGTTCATAATTTAAATTTGAAATCGCCATTATCTTTTTTCAAAAGTTGTCTTATTTAGATGAGTTTAGACTAGAGTGGTAACATATTCATGCTACTTGTGGACATGTACCTGCATCTCTAGCTTCCTTATAATTTTAGGCAAGATTCTTAAATTTGGTATGGAAAGTAGGACCTTTAACTAGAGCATATAGGAAATCGTTTGCTCGCCTCATTTGCTTTTCTTTCACCCATATTGGTCTTCATCTCCATATCCCAAACACCTAGTCGTTTATATCCCAAACACCTAGTCGTTTTTGTTTTTAAGTGCTGGCAAGTCAGTGCCAACTCATAGCGATCCCATGTAGTGTTTCCAAGGAGCACCTGGTGGGTTTGAACTGCCGACCTTGAGGTTAGCAGTCCAGTGATTATCCCACAATGCCACAACAGGAATCCTAGAAGACCCCAAATATTGAATGCATGAGCTACCCTTTTCTTCACTTTCTTTCTTTCTCTTTCTCAAGTCTCAAAGGTACTTTGGATAATACAAAAATACAGATGGGTTCTTACAGGGTAAAGATAAGAATAGGTAATGATCTTGCAATGTTCAATTACCAGAAAATGCGGGACTGCTACCTTCACTGTGGCTGGTAATCCTCTTCGGCAGACTTTACATACATCAAAGAGGGACTTAATATTTAATTATCCACAAGGTGCCCAAAGTAGTAGCCGCACAAATCATTGTGTTGCTGGGAAACCAGCCAGCTCCTGCAAAATTCACAGAGTCTGTGGAGGCTGCTACCTCGCTGGTTCTCAGAGAGACAGCAATTTCTACTTTTCTAATGATTCGTTAACAGAATTAAATATTCAGCGGCCCTCATTTTTCAACAGCTTCAGAGGCTTCTGTTTCCATTCCAGAAATATGCCCCAGTTGGGAGGGCCTCGAGGAAGTGGGTGGGGATGACTGTGTTGTGTTAATCCCCTTGGTAGAGTTTATCAGAGTTTTTCAGGTTTTGTAATTTTCTAGTTAACTGGTTCATGAAAAATATGGGTCAAAATACTGATGTTTCCTTAAAATAATTCTGTACCCTATCACCTCAAACTCTTTTGCCATTTTATGTAAAAAAGAGCATGAGGCTTAGATTGGCCTTCTAAAATTTCAACCTGTCTAAATCTATGGTTGTAAATTTTTAGCAAAAAGAATTTAAAACTCCTCCTAGCCTCATTACAAATTCATATGTTTTACCTGTTTTGAAATATACAAGGACACATGAACCCTTCTTAGCAGAGTTCAGTTTGACTTCATTTGACAGAATATTAACCAAATATGCACATTTCTGTCACATAGTGTCCAGACATAGAACAATGGAGAAGGTTCACTACACGAAGCTATATTGAGTTTCTTAAAGTTTACTGTCAACTTAAATATCTTCATAGCTAAGACTCACTGACATAAATGATTTGCTTAGCCAGTAATACTTGTTTAAAGTGTGTGTGTGTGTGCACATGTATATATCAGCACATGCACAAAATCTATGTATATCCCTAATAGCCACAAAATCACAGACTGCTAGAG